AAGACACCAGCCACTCCGACCGTAGTCGACAATGTCGGCGAAGTTGCTGGCAGTTGTTTGACATTAGCCTGGAAATAAATTGCACGGAACGCTAATTTAAATGCCAGCCAACGAGGTCGACGGAAGTATCGTCAAAAATGTCGAACCAGCAGCGACATCCGAGCGAACCGGGCTCTTCTTGCACACGCTTATCGACGATATTTGTATTCGCGTCGAGAAACGCATCCGATGTATCCACCGCGAGCCCGCACCGCGACAATGTAATCTGCGCGCTACGGGGCAACTTTACGCGAATACCTTGCGAGAACGGACTAAATCGGAGCGATTATAAAAACGGAGCTGCCGCGGAAGCGCGCGCGGCGAATAATACATTTTATTGACTCGCCGCGGTCATTATACGGACGGCGCAGCGAATAAAACTGTGCAAGTCAGACCGGAGTCTGAATTCTCAGACAGCGATCGGGCGGAGAAACTCAAGTACACTCGCACAAGCACCCTGCTCGGCTGCTTGCCGAGTCCGCTGAAAGAAGGCAAGGAAAGAAGAGGAACGGCGAGTTGCCGGCCGTGTGCACCGATCCGGAGCTGACGAGCTAGAAATAAACGTGAGTTCCCAGGGAAAATTGGTGAGACGGTTTTTCATCATTTCTTAAAGGCAGGAAAATTGCAACGAGCCGGAAAGGCTAAAAGAAACACAGCAAGAAGGGACCGAGCGACTGGGTATCACAGAGGGGAATCGGCAGGGGGACGATGCGCCAGCCGTGTGCGGAAGAAACGTCGGAGTCGGGGGTCAAGAGAGCTCCTGGAAATCCGGGAGATTGAAATTCGAGGCGTCTTCGTCCGCTCGGACGGCCTTCCTTATTTACGGGACTTTCAATTACACCGGCTCGGCCCAGGCATCGTAATGTCTGCCATTCTTCTTCGGTACTCGCGCCGTGTGACCGCGCGCCACGGTAATACTATTAAATCAGCCCTCCGTCCGTCCGTACGTACGTACGGTCGCGCCGTGATCATTCCGTCTGCACGGCCGACCTATTTCGACGCTATCAGGGTGATAACGCGCGAAATTTTCTACGCGCCTTGTTATTAATTACGGTAATAGCACGGCTTGATAGACAACGTTGGTCATCGGAACGACGCTGTTGAATATGATAGAACATATTTCCGGGACTGTCCATTAGAGGATAACGAGAGAACGTAGTTAATAAATTCTCGTAATCAAAATTCCTGATTAAGCCGGCTATAGAATTATCAAGCGACCTAATTTCACTTTGGGCCGAGCATATTTATCCGACGTGATCGTCATTAATTTAGCGTCATGTTACTTCACAAGTGAGAGCAATGAATGGAGCGTGTATGCAATCGAGTTTGTAATTCGAGACAACGTGAATAACAGAGAAAAATGGATTTTCACGAAGCACCAGAGAGAGAAAGAGAGAGAGAGAGAGAGAGAGTATGAGAGGGAGAGAGGGGGAGGGAGGGAGAGAGAAGCCACGAGATCTAAGGAACGGACAAGCTTCTGAAAACATTGTCTGGCGGAGGCAACGCTTTTGGGGCAATGAAGCATGAAACGCTTAACTATGGCGTGACATTTCTCCAACGGCCTTCCTGAAGGCCCATGAAAGAGGTGCGCGTCCTTTCGTCTGGAACGTAGACACCGACGAAGCCTCTCCCCATCCTCACGAATAGTAATCTCGAAGGACATCTTTCAAATATTTGAAGCGATCGAAAATGTCATCCGTACAGGGTACTCTGCCCTTTCCTTTTTTTCACGGGCGAACAAAAGACCCCGATCGTCCGATTCGAGGTTAATTAAAAAGAAAAACTTGTAGGCAGCGTAGGCCTTTTTACACTCGCGCTTGCACAAAAATGACGGATATCGAAGATGGCGAACTTTGAATATTGATTCGAATCGACAGAAGCTTATGTTTTCATTATACTCCGCGCATATCTGACGTGCATGGTATATATGCCGACGTTATAATCGACGAGATCAAATAAATCCGAAATGTGAAACGTGGTCGAACGCGAGTGACACGACGGTTCGACATATGATTAATCGCGCGTACGTACAGGGTGTTGCAACAACATACCACCCATTACAACGGTTGTTAATTTCGGATTTGTCGATATATCATACATTTCCAACAAAATTATAGCGTTCCCAATTATCACCCTAATTATCATAAAAAGAGAAAAAGTATGCGAGTGACTAGATCGACAAATCCGAAATTACCGTCTGGACGCGCGCGCCTTTGGGCAAGCAGTCCGTCGTATAATGAGTCGTACATTGATGCAACACCCTGTACACTGGCGCACGATGTAAAAGTGATATATTCATCAGTGTACTCTCACGACACTCCTTAAACTCGTTTCTATAGAGTAACTTTGGCTTCTCTTTTTTCCGGCGCGCACGTAGCCGTACACGTTTCCAACGGTGAAACGTTCCGAGAGATAATCTTACGGAAATAAAGTCGACTCTTCGTGATGTGCGGAGAACCAAAGTCTATCTATACTTTCGCGCGTGTATCTACGCGATAACATCTACACCGTATTATTCGCACCCTTGTTTCCAGAGTAGATATCTGCGTCTGATCGATACGCCTAACCTCTGACCTATTATCACAGCTTGGTAGCGAGTTCTTCTTCGTTGCGAGATATCGTTTCGCGGGACTTAGTCCGTGGCAGTTTCAGTGAATCGTTCGATAAATCCCTTCGAGATACGCGACGATTAAAGACGCCTCCGTCACTAAGACTCACTGATCCTTCGTTCTAAAGCGCCCAACAGACGTTACAATTTATAGGATAAGTTACAAGGATAAATTATACCGTGAAATATACGACGGATTACGAAATCAATTTATCGCACGACCCATTGCCCTGTAATTACGACGATTTAACTTTCCCTTCTCTTGCACACATCGACGGTCTTCTTTTCACCTCACCGTGTTTTCTTTGCTTCGTTAAATATTTATCAGAATCACGTCGAGTCACTGACGTTTTTAACGGCCGCGTAGCGAAGCTTCTCGCGACCCTTTTAATTGCACGATATTATCCGGTTTTGCACGGTAGCGAGCGAGAGACGGTCCTCGAAATTGGAGCCCTCGCAGCTGAAGAACTCGCTACTTTGAATCGCAAAGTAGACTCGCTACTTAGACACCGTTTCCTTAATTTCTAATTGATTACGGAATCCCGTGATGCCCTAATCGCGGGGACACATTGTAAATCGCATAAATCACGCTTGGAATCTTGGTCAGTGGAATAGAACGCGGCGAACGTGCACGATCTTGATTAGTCTAATTCGCCCCAACACTTTACAAGCTCGCCAGGTTTACATGCTCGCGAGGTTTACATGCTCCCGTTGTAAGACTATGCGCGAAACCTGATGCACGATACGTGTCTGAAACATTTCGCTGACTCACATGTACATCGGTTGTAGGGTCAAGGCTTTTCTTACGTCCACCCCATGCGGAGTAACGCACTAGTCGAGCGTGCGCGATGCTATCGCCAACCCTGATTCGCAGGAGTCATCAATGAGTTTGATCGGACGGCGCTCGTACGGGGCGGGAAACGATTTGTTTTCCTCAAAGCGACGGATAGCGCGGCTCGGATAACTCACAAATAGCTTCGTATCGCCATCTCTTTACGTGCATATATCGTCGTAATTGGTCTCATTACCGTTTCTCTTCAGCACCGTTTATCCGCTAAAGTCTGGCAAGTGCCTTTTATCTAACACGACGCTAATAGGAACCGCGGTATTTTCAAGCGATCTTGATGGGCCGCTCGTACGTACGCGCTTGGCCGGGTCAACGTAAACGATGCCTTTTATCGGGTCAAGGCGCCGCTATTTCGCGGATCTCGAATCATTTTCGCTCGTATCGAGAGTAACATATCGTCGCTGAAAATCAGAGGCACTTCTACGAGATGCGCGATAAATATACTAAATACGCGTCACTGCGACACGAACGATCCCGCCTCTCTCTTCCGTCTTCTTTGTTCCGATTAGAGCGCGCAGCAATTTGCGTAATTGCAGATATCGCGAAGATATTGCGTGATGCGAGCAAGGTCACCACCGTACGCGGCTTCGCGTGATCCGGGAGCCCGCGCTTTCTCCAAGTGGTTACGTACGGATCTTGGTCAGCCCGCTGAGCCAAGCAGAAATCGCTCGTACACGGAGTCGCTCTACTTAGCGGAACCGGAATCGGCTGCTGCCCGTAGGTAATGCGAAACGGTATCAGCCCGCGCGGGCTCAAGGGCCGTTTGTTTGGCTGACCGAGACCATCCGTATCTACTGACCCGTTAAGTCAAGAACAGACCCGCTGCACTTTATGCCCCGGACCTTCGGGCGTATCTGCCTCTCGCGGTCGTGTGTGTCATGCAGGCTGTTACAATATCTTCTCTCGAACTTGTCTTTGGAACAATGCTAATCCCAATATCTATATCAGTTCTGGAGTTCGCGGCAGTGCTCCAAGGGCCGGCAACAGATCACCTTAACTATTAACTTCGTGAAATAGTAAGCGTGAAGTAGTAGCGCTAAATAGTAATTATTAATTACATATCGCGTCGATGTCACAGTAACGGTGATGTTATCGTGTGATCGATATAGATTGTCGCACGTATATCGACTCTGAATAGAATTTTTAATAATTCGCAAATTTCCGGAAAAAAGAATGCGTTTCATGTTATATCATTGAGCGCGTATATAACGCGTAACGCATGCTTTTTTTCACGCGGAGATGTTTACATAAGTTTACAACGTTTACTGGACACGCAGAATGTAATAATATTTCGAGACCTGAACGAGATTCTGTTACTGATACTTTAATAATTAGTTTAAACAAGATATTACAATTAATCGTACCGTACAATTTAACTAAGAGGAGCATTATTCAAATATAAAATGTTACACACGGGAAATATACGGTAAATAATTAAAGTAATTTTAGAACGTCCAACGTTTGTTGTTGAGGGAGACACGAGATGAAATTCTCGTCTGTTTACAGAACTGGCGGCGGCAGTATGCTGGGCGATGTGAACATCTCGGCGATATTGGACTCGTTTTCCGTCAGTTACGATAAAAGAGTAAGGCCGAACTACGGAGGTGAGTAGGGATTCGATTTTCCCCACCTTTCGATTACCGAGATCATTCGACCACCCTGGCGTGGAATTTATATCGTGCGCAAAACTTGTCAGTCTCACACGGGAGATCGTACAATCGAGACGTAGAGATTAATCGTCGGTTGACTCACACGGCCGTGGCGCGAAAGTGACACGCGCCGCAGCAAGTTTTGCGTCCGACGCAAGCTCCGTCTCATTGTTTCTAGTCGTTGCACTATTGCGTGAATCTAAAAACATTACCTTGCAGCCAACGAAAATGACGGAGTTGAGCGATGAAAGAGACCAAACATTGACACACCAGCAAAATCCAATCAATTGGCGGAAGCACGGAAAAACCAGCGCGCGACTCTTTTAATTCCACTTCGTTCGCTGCAAGCGCAGAAAAAAGCTTTTTACGTGTGCTCGGGTAAAAAAGGAAAATAACCGGTACCGTACTCCATCTTGATGCAACGCTGAGATAAAAGGAAGTAAGGGAACGCGTTGATAGTGGATAAAACGCGCGCACACACACACACACACACACACGCGCGCGCGCGCGCGCGCGCGCGCGCATGCACACAGGACACACATTCAGAGACAGGATTTACCTAAAAAAGAAAAAAGAAAGAAATTAAATGGACGAAATCGATACGCGATAAATCAAGATACAAAACACAAGCTCTCGAATTGGTGTAACAATGGCGCGACACGGCAGTAAAGCTCCGACAAAACGCTCCGGGAAATATTTTTGACGCCGCTTACCATCTCCCACGTTTATACTACAAAAACGCCGGGCTCTCTCGAGCATACTACCGCCTCCATAAAACAACTCTGACAGAAACGGCGCGGCAGCACGTGTACACACGGATCGCATCCTGTTCCCCCGGCAAAGGAGTAATTTGCCGTTTACCGCGCGTCTCGACCGCGGACTACCGAAAAAAGGAATACCGATAAAACGACGCCGGCAGACAGCTCGCTCTATCGCAGATGGAAAGAGCGTGGGGAGAGGGAGAAAGAGTAAAACACAAAGCTGAACCGTGCTTTCTCTCTTTCTCTCTCCTGACTCCTGACAAATTCGCGAGATCGCGGATCGCGAGCTTCCACAGTGATTCGTGCGTCACGACTTTCGCGCGGACACTTTAAATAAATATACCCGGACGGTTATCGCGCGCGAGAACGACGCGATTTCGCGGTCGAATGAACGGCATGCTTATAAAACACGGGGATATTAAAGAGCCATTAGGCCAGTTTCGAGTGAGCGCGCTTGCCAGTCGAGAGTCGGCTAGGAGCAATTAGTGCCTCCCAATGGGCGACCCGTCCCACTTTCGCGGCTCGGTCGGTCCGGCCGAAAAGTCACCGCTTCGAACGGCAGCGGCGGCCTATTATCGGTGCCGGAATGCCACGATTATGATTCATGCGTCGGCGATCCCACCGCGACAAAGTCACATTTTCGGGGGTGGCCTCGTGGAGGCAGGGCGGGGCTGAAGCGCTTCGATAAAACTCGGATCGATGCCGGGAAGCCCCGCGGGTTGCCACGGGTTACCGTTAACGGTATCTCCGCGTCGCACTACGCGCGCGGACATGCTGCATCTCGCGTTCGATTGCGATTTTGATTCCGTCCTCCCGTCGTCTTCGCACCCCTTCTGCCCCAGATTCTATTCCGAGGACTGGAGTCCGCATTTTCGGCCACACGTTGCGAATCGCTAACGAAGATGACGTTCGACTTCAGAGTCGGGACTGCTCTATTTTGCCCCC